ACCACATGGAACAGTTTCGCAACTGGCTGCTCTATTTACACGAAATCAATTGGGGACTCGAATGGGGAGCAATTATGATAACATCAGCAAGTTTGGTTCATGGGGCACAAGCCGGCAACTGCTGGGCGGAAACTTGTAGAGTACATCAGGTAAACACGCACTTCAGACGATGCTTTGAGTCTGGCGTTTTCAGAAAATGGCTGTAGTCAAATTGCTCCTGCCTTGCTATATCCTGCCAAGTGGCCCTGACACTGTCGCTGGGCAACAAGCAGACTGAAAGGAACTCCATTCATTACCATCTCGCTGTGGGTGTTTGGCGAAATGTTGGCCCACCTCGAAAAGAGCTGCTATTCGCTTCCGCCCTTCAGCAGCTTCATTCACATCCACACAGACACCGCGACCAGAGTTTGCGGAGATAGCCTGCTACAACAAGCGCACCCATCAGGTGTTTTATTAAAGCCGGGGACCTTTCAGAGTGAGTAAGCTGTAAGGATTACCTGCAGAATTGGGATACACTTCTGTAAAATGGATGCACATATATCTGACATGGCGATGAGCTTTGCGATTGCCAGGCTTGTTGCACTAGGAAAAAAAGGGCCAAATAACACTTTTGCGAACACACATAAAACACGTTTCATCAAAGTTCTGCACGCTAAGAACAACAAAATAACACAAACCCGTAAACTTTGTACACGTTTGAACACGGTTATTTTGCCCTTTTTCCCTTGTGTTATCTACGCCGCCAACACAGATCGTACTTACGTTTTCACGGGCAAAAATAGTTTTTACGTTTTTGCGCATAAATTACGTAAACCAAACGTGAAAACAGCCCCGCGTACACAATTATGTACTGTACATAATTATGTTCTTATAAGGACAGTACGTGCAACCTTCGGGATTCCGGGGGATAGCATCCAGACGCACTGGGGTGGGCAGAAGATGAATCTTGTTCCAATCCATCGTGGCCCTTGCAGACTAGGAAGTGGACGCTGTCTTGCGGGCGCTCAGCGGGGCGGAGTACTGGTCACTGTACGCAACTTCCATCGTGTAACGTGGGTGTCTTAAACTTAAACAACAAGCCCGGTGACTGTAGAGCATTCAAGAAAGGCATATTCTGGTAATGCCTTCCGAAACACACAGGGATTCATTTCACTGGGAAAATGGGCTACAATATATTCTCTCTCTTCGACAATACACGTTTGGCACCCCTTTGAATTTCCTGTCCGCCTTGCCTGCCTGCTGGCTTTATATTAATATGGCATTGATGTTACAAAACCAAGGCATGACGGCGCCTCACTTGCAGGTGAACCTGCACGCTGACGTCTTTCAGGCAGGTGTTCATCATTATCACAACACACATAACATCTGTAGTCTGTTTACAAATAGTGCAACACTATCGAGCGGGTTTTCAATGGCGCAATGCGAAGGGACACCACAACGATGCTCATGTTTCAATGTGGAGTATCCTAGATGAGAATGCCACGGTTGCAAAAATGGCGGCAAAATTGGCCTGCTGTTGCGTTGTTCGGTGCTGTGTCAATGGCCAAAAGTCATTATGCGCCAGAAGCACTTGAGCAACTCGTCATTAACTTCGAGGTGGGCAGAAACCAATGAACAACCAAGCCATGCTCGATTCGCACCCATAGGTCCCCAAGTCGGTCTTGATCAGAAAGGCGGCGATCGAAAGTCGACAATCCGCCACACGCCGATTGCGATTTGCTGTCGCCCGTCCTGCAAATGCGCACAAGGATCAGCTGATGGCGCAGGATTGGCGGCGATTGGCGCCCGCCATTCACCGGGCACCCCCAATCGGCCGACGCATCACGCACGCGCGGCGCGCCTCTCGAGTTGCGCGCAAATCGTCCACCTCATCCAACCAACGCCCAGCCGTGCTCATGCTCAATGTCCTCATGCTCCTCGCGCCATCGCGGAACGCGTGGCGCCCAATTGTCAGAATGGGCTCGGGTTCTGGGGCCACGCGGCCAATGGACGACAGGCGGGATCTTCAGCACATTCAAACAGCCAACGATTCAGGCAGCATGGGGGTTTCGTGGTTGCCGTCCGCTCGATGCGAGGTTCTCATTCCCACTGCAGAAATCGCCAGTCACCACGGGCAACTGGCGGACGGGAGTGGGCACGCACACATACGTGTCCGCAGCGTCAAGCAAGGTGGCAGTTGGTGGACCCAGCAAGCTTGCGCGGCATTTCTGATTGGCCAGCCGGCATGAAAGTTCCGTGGAGGAGTTGTTGGCCGGGGGATCGCAGACAGCAAGGGCGATGACGATGATACTCATTTTCGAGAACTGGAGCAGCGGGCGCGAAGGCGGCGGAGTGGCAATCGACCACCACCCTGGAGTGGGAGCAATCAAGCCCGCCAAAATTAACGATTGATCGATCCTCATGAGGGATGCAGGGATTCTGTCACAGACTGCGATTCCGCACGAGGTCTTTTCAGGCGCACCTGTCGTTGCAGACTCAAGGGCCGCCTCCGTGGTGCGACCCAACAGAGTACCTCCTGTACTCGGTATCGCCATTCGCCGGTGGCCTTGCACTAGACGGGGGCCGCCCAAGTGCGATGGAGCGCAACACGCTTCCGCATTGACGTCCTTTTCTAAATGTCCGGTATTGTGTACAAATATCGTTGTTCAAGGGGTTCACCCATTGTGCGATGGCTTCATTTGCAGCACGGATTTCTTCGGCAGCTCTTGGTTGTCCTACTTTCGATATAAGATGAGCTGGAAATGATCATGAAACATGTGGACAATACCCACAAACGCACCCAAGGACACGAGATGCACACAGCACGGTCTGTGTCTATTGCATGTGCTGCGAAAAGCCATCTTGGATTCCTCCGCTGAGCCAACACACTCTTGGTTCGCCCATCAACGTCCATGTTAAACGAATTTGGGACTCAGGGGGCGCACTTCAGCTGAGTTTGACTGCTTGCAGCGCATCAAACTTGCGTGACTTCAGTTGGAGGCATGGTCGGAGTTGATCCGACACAATTGTTGCACGCAATGCACACTTGTTCCAGACCGTGACCGCAGCCTCACAAGCTCTTGAAGAAAGGACGCCATGGTTTGCCATTTACAACAACAATATGCGATTGCGTCTGAAATTTGGGAAGCACAGATGGGGAGTAAATCTACTTCTAGCTTCGGCACAGAAGTTGTGGATTTAGAGTCACATCATCTGGGCGATTGTTCTGATGAGGGTTCGACAAGTGTCCATGCCAACCGCCGTGTTCAGCGCTCCCCAAGGGGGGTACGCAAAACTGCATTCGACAGGCCTGTATTCTGCTGTCAGCTGGCATCTTTTTTCAGGTCACGTTCATTGATGTAAGATCTCGGAAGGGGCGCATTTGGTGAGGCCTGATGGCTTTTCAGTGCTTGGCAGAACACAGCCAGGTCCGCCGTTTGCTGTCGTTGACAACACACATGCTTGCAAGTGCGTTCTTGGCGCATCGGCAACATTTCAATGTGTAAAACCAGCGCATGCGCAAATGCAGTTGCTCTCGTATGACGGTTCTCGACGAAGGACACCATTACAATGCCTTTGCCAGTATTCAAAGAGTGCAAGTGTTCTACGTACATTGAGTTTTGCGCCAGGAGCGACACTGCCCAAAAAGGGCATTCCCTGGCCATGTTTGGAGAAATTCTTCCCACTGACAGGGCCGCCAGTAATTCAAGTTCTGATAGTTCCAGCATTGGGCGGTACTTGCTCTTGCTCTGAGTAAACTACTTTGACAATTGCCTGAAAAACCTCGCGGCATCGCTCAAAGTTTCAAGTTTTCACGATCGAAGCTGGCGCACACTCCCTGGATGCTCTCCATGCGCTACCCAGGAGCGGCGATGCCGCCCGGTGTCGTCTTGCTCGGGGTGGCTCCCTGGAAAGCGTCGTGGCGACAACGCGCGTTGGGAGATCTGCCGCCCCGTTGGTCGGCCGCTCCCATGTTTGGCCCGCCACCCGATGGCTGCGGGCTTCTGCGATGCAACGCTTTTTGGTTTGCGGGGCCGCAGGGATGGATTTGGGGTCTCTGCGCGGCTTGCTCCAGGGGCTGGCTGGGCGATCCCGAACGGTGGCGGCAGAACGGGCTGTTCGCAAAGTGACCAGCCCGGGCACACGCGTTTGCGCAAGACACTCGTTCTCCCTTCGACTGGCAGAGCGCTGTGCGATTGTCGGCATCGGACGGAAAAGGGGGAGGCGGACAGTGGCTGGTGAGCATTTGCTTGTGTCGGCCAGGCGTCAATGCAGTCAACTGAGTTCCTATCCACCTGCTTTTGCACGAGGCGACAGGTGGCATTACCGTAAAGTTCATTCCTTTGTTAAAATTTGTCTTAACAGGACGAAGTTAAGCCCTTCCGCCCCGGAAAATGTGTTCTCTCGCTCGTATGTGGTCTTTTGTCCAGTCGCCACCAGTCTGCAATACGTGCAGAGGGTGGTCAAATAGCAGCAAGCACCTTGAGGCATTTTTAGGGATCAGGGCTTTGCTCACTTTCTGCTGCCCAGTTTATTGCAGAATAAGCTCTGTTCCGTGGAAAATGCCCTGGCAATGGAACTGGGACGTGCAGGTACACTGTATCGCACTTGCATGCCAGCGGGCATAAGTTTGTGTGCAAGTGCAGCAAGAGTGCTTCACCAGTGTTGTGTTGTTTGCATGAGTCCATTGCAGGAAGAGCAATGATTTCCAGGGCAACTCTTGCAAATCAGTTCTAAGTTGAATGTGGGCTGGCTGTGCACCACCAATACCACAATACTGATGCAATGAGTGTGCTTAGGTCAAACACTTGAGCGCAGATGAGATGACTCAGTCAGCAGTGGCAACACTCCTAGCCTAAACATAAACCTTTGCTGTTGAACCTAAACCTGAATTCTTGCTGTGTGTGCCTTTACCCTTGCTGCAGCATGTCTCACCACACCCGCGAGGTGGCAGCCAGCAACGCCAGCAGCACGATGCGGAGAGGGCTCGCTGCGTGGTGGGCACCCCACAGCCGATAGACATGCGCTCGGGATGGGGCTTCCAACGCAAACACATGAGGACGAGTAGGCAGACACTGCAACACAAGGAGACATGTGTGCCCAGGACGCGGCCCACAAACAACCAGCTTTTGTAAGTTGCAGGCGCGCAGACGATGCTGAAACATCATGGTCATGGTCACCGTGTGAACAGATGTTGAGCGGCATTGAGGTGTGGGTTGGGGCTGTGTTGTTGCTCTTGCAGAGGAATGTGAATTTGACAGCCTGGAAAGTGTGTTGCGGTGCATTGAGGGCAGTGTGCAAGAAAGCACCCTGGCATTTGTCAAGCGGTCCAGCACGGTCATGGGGCACCCAGTAGAAGTTGCATGGTGGCGTGTGGTTACTGTGAGTCGTCATGTTTTGTCCATGGGCCCGGAGACTCACCTTAAGCAACACAGTACCACTGTGAAATGGAAAATGTTGGCAGGATTGTGTTTTCTTGAGAAGCTGAACATTGGGGATGACTGCCAATGCTGATGGAACACAGGAAATAGCCAGCCAAAGGCAAGGGTTGCATCTCCTGGTGTGTTGAGTATGTTGCCTAAATGTTGGAGTCAGCACACATAAAGCATGTCCAGCAACATTCAGTGCAGGTCCTTGGCCTGGCCATTGCTTGATGCCAAAACCAGCCCCAAATCGTCAGCATGTGGGTTATGATGCCACAGATAGTTGTCAGACAACTGCAATGTGGCAGTTTGGCTGAAAAAGTGGCTTCCAGAGTCCAGTGATGCTCAGTTTTACCTGTGGAGACCTAACAAATCCAAGGTGCAGTCGAATCGCACGTGGCAGATTGTTGAGGATCGCTTGTGTTGTGTGGGGGCAGATTCAAGGCGTACTTGCGATGGCGGAACTTCCCTAAGACGGTGCGTGACAGCAAAGCGCATCTGCCATCAGAAACGGATGCATGCCCCAGTGTGACAGCTGCCTTCCTGCAGGTCAGCTTTTTAGTAAATTATTATTTTCATTATTGTCGCTACTATATGTTTTTTCTTTCCAATTCACGTTTTGATCGCATCCTCCAAAATTGAACAAGACGATGGCTTCACAGATGGTGAACGACACAGCTGTCGCCTCCTGGCAGTGCTCAAAGCTGTTCATGCTGCAGCCATGGGCCCAGTTTTGGCAGCCTCCTGTGTGGTCACCATACAGATGTGGTGAATCCTAGGGATCGTTGGGCAGATCTGTACTGCAGTGTAGGTCCTCAGTACATCGTTGCGCATGCCTTGTGCGAGTACTGCTGCACATCGTGCATGAGATGCATGTTCAGCAATTTGTACTACATGAATGGAGCGATTTGCTGGTGTCAAAGTTGGCGAATCCTGTCCCCTGAAATGAAGCAATAGTGTTGTCAGCATGCAACAGATTGCAGTGTCAGTGTCAGAGTCCAGATGGCTCCTCATTTGGAAAGCAGAGAGGTGTGCAAGAAATCACCCTTGTGCATCCTGTGAATACTGTATTGCCAAGAACTGAAGCACAGTACCAGAGTACCAAGGTACCATTCTGTGGCACTTTAGCAGCATCTTGGAGCAAAGAAAGTAGGCACTGCTGTCTGTGCACCCTGAACCCAGACTGCCGTGCCACCCCTTTTGCCTGCTGCTTTCAGGTGACAGTGCACACTGATGTCTTGTATTTTGTATGTCATTGGTCATGTATCTGTTATTATTCACTGCTTATCATTTAGTGTATGTGCCATCATTTGTTTTGTAAATACACTCCGTTGTTATGGCTTCATCCTGGGGATCGTGGCATAGTTTTAGTCTTTGTTGTTAAGGCAAGAAGATAAATATATTACGGCTGCCACAACGACAAGTCGTTGGTGGTGCATTGGCAGCTGATTTTGGTTGTTGTTCTTATGCTGCAGTTGCAGTTCCATTGTAATAGTTGCCATTGCTGCTGTCATTGTCATTGGTTACTGTGCTCAAATCCATGTTCATATTGCTCAGCTGCCTGATTGAGAGGGGGCTTGTGACATTATCGACTGTGTGTTGCAGGTGCTTGCTGGCCTGCAGGATGCTGAAACAGTCAGATCTGGTCACACCCGGAACATCTTTAAGGTGAGGCCAAGACGCTGGAAAGCACCCATCTTTCGCCACTGTCACAAACGCAGCTTGATGCGCCCTCAACAGAAGGCGCATCCCTCACACAAGGCTCGCCGCCGATGGCATGTTACCACAACAGGTCAGAGTCAAGCATTTCATGAGGCCTTGAGCCAGTCTGCGCATGGTCTGCTAGACAGTACACACAGGCTGCACAGGCAGGACAGAGAGTGCAGGAAGCAACACTTGTCGGGTTGGGCAGCTGTCGAGGACAACGCTCTTCTGGGCAGTAGATCTTAACATGGTTGATCCAATTGCCCCCATTATTGGACCTTGATGCACAGCTGGGACACAGATGGCAGGTAATACTCATGTTGGCATAAAGCAGTTTCTCTTGACGGTGCAAGCGTCTTATCCAACTTGCTGCATTGATCATCGAGACACCTCCATATCATTGCCACCATAGTTGATTGTTTTCTCCATTCTTAATTCCCACTGTGACAAACATTTGATGGTGGGGTGGATGTGACTGTAAGGCTGCTACCGTCTCTTTGTCATTGCGGTGTCCATTGCTTGCTTTAACTTCACCCCTGTACTTCCTCTTTAGACTCTGGAATATTGAAACCTGCTACGCATGTGCAGCTGCGGGCAGAACTGTCAAATGGCCTCCAGATTTTGTCAAAGGACACCTGACACACAAAGGTGGTTGACCTGTCTTTAGTCACGCACAGAGTGTCTGACGAGCTGCAAAGACGGTACCTATCCGACAACGCCGGCAGTCTGGACTGCAATCGTTGCGGAAGCGCCGACCAGTACATGTTCACAGGTGGGCAGAATGCCATGTGTTGCTGCTGGCCCTTTATGCTTACATGTGCTAAGGGATGCGTCACAGCCCGTTACAAACACTAATGTAACATTTTGGAATAAGGGAAAGAAAGAAGGGGATGCACTGAATTGCCTGTTTGCACCACGGTTTTGCTTCATGTGATTGTATGGAGTTCACGCAACAACTTGGGGTGAGAGTGCTTGTCCACTGCCGTCAGGAGTTTTTCAGGGATTCGTGCAACAGCTGGGCAGGTGACAGTGACTGAATTCAAGCGGCTGAGGGCCGAGGTGAAAGACTTGGTAAACGACTGCCGGCAATTAAGGGAGGAGTTGTGCGATGTGAAGAGGGAGGCGGAGAACTCTGCGGCATGCAGAAGAGAGGCGGATGAAGACGATCGCAGACGTTTGAAGTATGTGTATCTGCAGCAGACATGTAGCTTTTGTTATTTGCTTTATGATTTCAATCAAGAGGCCACCGATGGCAACAATATTTACATTTAGACTGAGATATTTTTGGTGTCCATGCTGCTCCTCATTGTGGATTGCAACAAGCAGCAGCATGGACAGCAAAACATCTCAGTCTAAATGTACCTATTGTTGCTGAGAAGGGCTTTGTGCCATCTTCCACATCGTGGAATGGTTTCTGGCAACGAAAGGGCCTTCTTGTCGGTCACAGTCGGCTGATGTTGATGCCAGCTTCTTGTTTCTTGATCGAAGAACATGAAGGAGAAAAGGGAGGCTCACTTCTTGGTATTGATGGCAGGAAGCTGGCGAGTGAGGATGAAGGGATCCGTTAAGAAGTGGTGAAGCTACAGGCAGATAAGGTGAATTCCGACGAGAGGGCAAAGGACGAGGTGACAAGAGAAGCTGTCGCAAAGTGAGCGACGGTCTGAGGTAACTGCCAGAAGCTGTACGGCATTTGATGGGAAGGTGTCGAGAGGTTGGAGGGAAGCTGGCAGAAGTCGTGTGGTAATTGAAGGAAATCTATCGGAGGCTCGGTGGCAATTGGTGTTCTTCGAAACGGAGGGGGACCCAAAAACAGAGAAATTTCAAAGCGCGGAAGGGCTTGCTGTGTGATCATAAATGGTGTTAGATTATGTGATGGACGAATGTGATGGTGTCACGGCGCACCCCTGAATATAGCAGGCAGTTCGACTGCTGACCTGGAGACCAACCGATAACCGATAATGCCATTGCGCAATGGCATGTTGGAGCACCTCGTCTTGGCTCTCACTGGGTTGCAATTCTGGCTCCCCTGAGGGTTTTCCCGCATTGCATTGGACGCAGTGTTTGGGGGAATTGAACGGGGGGTTGGCGGCTGCGCTCCTTTGATATGTATTGATGCACCATCGGTTTACCAACGGTAAGGTCGACAGCATTTTACGTCTTGGAAAGACGGCCTGATGGAGGCTGTCCCCGACCATCAAACCCAAAATATCGGACTCAATCAAGCTTTCCTCTTAAACTGCAAGCTTCGCCCTTTTAAGCTAAATAAGTTCCTAAGTAGAGCTTTTATGCGTTGGATGGCGTACATTGCAATGCCTCAATTGCTCAAAACACAAGCCAGCAATTTCTGTGGCAAAGGTATGCCTCTTCTTCGGGGACGCTTGTTCTGCCAGTGCACGTTATGCGCATTCCCGCTATTTTTAGGAATGCCGTGGGCTTTGTCGCACATAGAACAAAATTCCCATATGAACGTACATGCCGGAAATGTATGCTGGCAAGGCCACCCCGTTGTCCAACCCATGACGCTAGAGCATGTCCATGAGAATTACATTCGATGATAGCGAATTCGTCGAGCGGCCCATCACCAACAGCATCAAGGGATCCACAAGCGTCTTCTACATAGGCAGGCGTAAGATCTTGTGTCCAGCTACTTGCGGCGTTGAGCCAGCTTTCCCCCGATGGGCATCTTATAGAAGATTTTCTGATCGACTCGGCAGTAACATGAGCATCGTGCCTCGTTGTGCCGCTCCTTGAACCCTTCCCCAACCGTCCTCTTAAACTGGAGGCGCGTTGGGAGTTGCTGCGGTCTTATGGCATCTTGAAGGAGAAGTTGGGTGGTTTGGTGCGGTACGTGTGTAGCTGTGAGCAGCTTCATGGCCTCTCCGAGAGGGACTGAGTCTCCTGTGAAGGTAACAAGCGAAGACCTGCATGTGAGGCGGAAATGCAATGGCGACTGACTTGGCGGCCACAAGTCCACTTCCCAGATCCAGAAAGTCCAGGATCTGGACTCACTGTGGACGCGTTGGAGCCATTCCTGTTCAAGATTACCCCCTTGGGCGACCCATTTGGGCGACTCTTTTTACATGCAAACTGACTCTCGAAATTTGGACATTTCTTTTTTTCATTTAAATTGCTCCTTTCTTGTGATCATGCATCGAAGTACAATTGAAGAACAAAACCAAAATGCTGTGCACAGCAAACACTGCCTTGGACACATTAGCAGACGCCACCGTGCAAGAAGAATCTGCATTTCCAGTACGTAACATGTTGTTGCCTTCAATGGCGTTCGCAATAGAGTCTGCGCGGTTGTTGGGGGCACCTACGCAAATGGAGACCGTGTTGCGGGATTAGCCAGCCGCGTTCCTGGAACTGATTGTGGAGCGCACCTCCCGGGACGCCCTTTTGAAAGGGTGTAATCCTCTTGGAAGCTTGAGATGCATTCCAGCGACGCTCGTATGTCGTCCATAGGGTTGCCGAGTATGATCCACTGCTTGCCGGCTGTGGCGTCCCTAAGGTAGTCTCTTGTGTGGATGGCGAGAATGCCGTCCGTCATCTTGCACGTTGTCGCTGATGGTGGCCCGTGTTGACGGCTTTGGAAGCTCAACAACGGCATCAGCCCTGAAAGGAATGAACGGAGCTTGTTGATCTAACGCTGGGGATTGAGTTGCACTCTTTGGCACATTCCATTTGGCACAGGCAGTGTTTTTGCCCCGTCGCTCCATTCAGTGGGTGTCGCGTTAAGCAATTGCACAACTTGCACGAAGGAAACGGGGCAATTCATCTCACCGTCGATGGTCACAATCTTTGTAAGCTTGCCTTTCCATACACTATAATTTCTTGCAAGGGATACAAAAGTTAAATTTTCCCTACGGCCGCCCTTGCTCGTCTTATTGAACTTGATCAAGAAGATTCGTCCAACCTTCTCATTTCGCTCAAGTGGCTGAGCTTGTCCATGGCACAGAATGGCGGCAGTAGAATGTTCGATCGTGACGGGGAACGCGATGCCATGTCACACAGGGCCCGTCTCGTTGTTCCCAATAAATTTTCCCATGAAGAAATGGAAGTACTGGAGATTCGTTTGCCAGCGCCCCTCGTGCACACCCTCATGTAACTCCAGCATTTGACCTACAGCTGCAACATACGATCATGTTGTGAATTAGCCTTTGCCGGTAATTTTTGCGACAGTTTGCGGTAAGTTTTGAACTCTTACGGCATCAAAGTTCAGATAGCGAGTCTAATAGTTGATTGTCAGTCTCGACATAAAGCATAAATCAAACTTGCTACCAGGGAAAGAAGAAGTTCGATACCCAGTGCGCTCCATTATGTTGATGCAACGGCATTCCCAATAGAGTCTGTGTGCTTTTTGAAGGCCGCAACGCAGTTAGAGGTCGCTTGGAAGTACTACAGCGCCCTAGCTAGCTACAATTCTGCAACGCGGTTGTCGAACGCACCTCTTGAGACGGCCTCTTTCAGGGACTCGCGATGATGCTGTCATCTTGCCCAGCGCTGCTTGGATGTTGTCCACAGGATTGTCGAGCATGATGCACTGCTTGCCAGCTTTGGTGTCCTCAAGATGGTCCCTCAGATGCCCATGGCGCTCCTCCGCTTGCGCATGTTCCCGGTGATGATGGCCCATGGTTGCGGATCTGACCCACGAAAGCACCCTTGAAAGGAAATGAACGGAAGTTGCTAATCCAATAATGCCAGTGAACTGCGCTCTTCGATGCCTTGCAGTGCACGGGCAAGCCTTCTGCAATGTGGGTCACTTTGATTGGTTTTATGTTAACACTCTCACAATTATCTCTAAAGAAACGGTAGAAATTTGGCTTGCTATCATCGGTCACAATCTCCGTCTTCTTGCCACTACAGGTAAATTTTCCGAGCGGTTGCCCTTTTGTGTCCTACAGGATGTGATCAAACAGATTTTCCCCACCTTCTAACATTGCTCAAGTGGCTGAGCTTGTCCGTGGCACTCTGCTGGCGGTGGCAGAATGGTCAGCCATGATGGAGTGCGCCATGTTATATCAAACATTGGTCATTTAGTTGCGCCCAGTGAGCCTTGCCCTGAAGAAATGGGAATACCGGAGATTC